TCCAGTCTCATGAAACTATTTACTTTAGTTGCTCTGTATACTGTAACATCTATTAACAAAATCTAAGTAATGATCACTTTTTAAAAAATAGCTGCATGGAAGATGAAGTAACAATGAATAGACTAAACTCCTGTTTGAAATAATTCCAATGAGAACAAAATACAAAACAAAAGTTTTTCAGAATTGTGTGTTTAGGTAGCACAGGGATAAGATCCCTGGAGAAAGGACACAAACAAGCTGCTGGAGCTCACACTTGCTCCAGCTTACTACTTGCAGAGTTCTTAGAATCTTGAGTCAAGGAGCTGAATTTGGGAGTCCAGGGAGGTCAAGGTAACAAAAGAATTCTCAGAACAAATTACTAGAAGAAGAGACGAGAGTTGCACAGAAAGAGAGTCCTTGAGAATCCCCTTAAAGCTTCAGCAAAGAACATTTTAACACAAGCATGTAGGGAAACTACGCCAGAGAAAGAAATATTCAAAAGGACTGGTAGTTCACATGGGCCAGGAATAATTTGTGTACCCAGCAGAATTTTTAAAATCTTATAATGTATTAGACATGGCAGAGTATTCAGAGGCCATTTATTCATCGTGGTGAAGGAATTAACCATAGCCTAAAGTCAGTCCAAAAGGATGTTTCCATATAACTTAGTTATATTCCAAGATAAGCTCAAAACAAAAGAATCAAAAGTGGAATTAGAAAATGTTTGAACTAAATGAAGACATAAAATATCAGAGTTAGTGGGATGCAGCTAACACAGTGCTTAGAGAGTATTTTCATGCACTATCACTACATTAGAGTAGAATAAGATCTCAATTAGTGACCTTGGCTAGACTTTAAACTGTAACAGAATGAAAACCAGTTAAAATCAAAGTTAGCAGAATGAAGAAAATGAAGCAAGCAGAAGCAATGAAATAGAAATATAAAAACAATAGTGGAGAATCAATAATACCAAGATCTGTTCTTTGAGTACATAAACAAAGCGATAAGCTTCTAGCTGGACCATGAGGATAAAAAGAAGATACAACCAAGAGCTAAAACTACAGGTCCCATAGATATTAAAGGATAGAAAGGAAGTATTCCAACTTAATGCCTATAAATTACATGAATTGGATGAGATGGATAAATTCCTGGAAAGACACATCTAAACTCACTTGAGAATAATTAAATATCTGTATAGACTACTTGTTAAGATACTGAGTTTGTAGTTCAAAAAAATTTCCACAAGGCATTCAAGTCTTGTTTCATAGATGAATTCTACAAAACACTTTAAAATGAAATAATTCAAATATACAAGCATCTTCTTCAAGAAACCAGAAGACATGGGATACTTCTTAATTAATTCTACAAGGCCAGAATAACTCTTCTACCAAAATGAAAAACATTAAAAAAAGAAAATCAATATCTCTCATGAAATATACAAAAATATAATAAATGTTAACAAATCAATTTCTAGCAATATTTTAGAAAGAAAATGCATTCATGAGCAAGAGGGTTTATCTCAGAACTGGAAGGTTGATATGATATTTTTTAAATTAATCAATGCAATTAGCCATATAAGCAAATTTAAAAAACATGAATAGATGCAGAAATGCATTTGACAAAAATACAACATGTATCCCCTACAGAAATTCTGAGCAAACAAGGAGAATGTAGTCCTCAAACCTGATAAAGGGCATCTATGAAAACCCTTACAGTAACATCATACTTAATGTTGAAATGTGGAAGGTTTTCCCACTACAATCAAGAACAAGGCATAATAGCAAGTTATGGAAACAGCCAAGATGCCCCAGCACTGACGAATGGATTAAGAAAATGTGGTATCTATACACAATGGAATTTTATGCAGCCATGAAGAAGAACGAAATGTTATCATTCGCTGGTAAATGGATGGAATTGGAGAACATCATTCTGAGTGAGGTTAGCCTGGCCCAAAAGACCAAAAATCGTATGTTCTCCCTCATATGTGGACATTAGATCAAGGGCAAAACACAACAAGGGGATTGGACTTGAGCACATGATAAAAGCGAGAGCACACAAGGGAGGGGTGAGGATAGGTAAGACACCTAAAAAACTAGCTAGCATTTGTTGCCCTTAATGCAGAGAAACTAAAGCAGATACCTTAAAGCAACTGAGGCCAATAGGAAAAGGGGACAGGACTAGAGAAAAGGTTAGATCAAAAAGAATTAACCTAGAAGGTAACACCCACGCACAGGAAATCAATGTGAGTCAATGCCCTGTATAGCTATCCTTATCTCAACCAGCAAAAACCCTTGTTCCTTCCTATTATTGCTTATACTCTCTCTACAACAAAATTAGAAATAAGGGCAAAATAGTTTCTGCTGGGTATTGAGTGGGGGAGAGGGAGGGGCGGAGTGGGTGGTAAGGGAGGGGGTGGGGGCAGGGGGGAGAAATGAACCAAGCCTTGTATGCACATATGAATAATAAAAGAAAAATGAAAAAAAAAAACCAAAAAAAAAAAAAGAACAAGGCAAAAAGGATAACTGTACTCAGCCTTTCTATTCAGCATTTCACAATTCTATTGCACAGGTGATATAATAAGTTGAGAAAAGGAATCAAGCACTCAGATACAAACAACATCCATCTGTATCTGTATCTGTCCTTTATTTGCCGATTGCATGATTGTCCACAAGAAAACCTCATAGAATCTTTTAAAGAGGCTACTAGGACTGGTGGAGCATAGCAAATTGCCGGATAATAATACGTTTTTAATTTTTTAATTATAGTTTCTATATACTTCAGCTAAAATGATTAGGAAATTAAAAGTTAAATTAATTTATAATAGCAATAAAATAAAATATGAAACTCCTGAATGATTAATTTGCTTAGAAGGCACTGCATACCTACAGACTGAAGCTGGAAAATACTGCTGAGAGAAGAATTAAGTACCGAATAAAATGTCGATACATAGTGTATTCATAGGATTGGTGTCAATAGTGCTAAAAATACAACTCTTCCCCAGTCAGTTGTATCAATTCAAATGCAATTCTTTCAAAATCCCAGCAGACTCAAAAGAGATCTTTGTTTTGTACAAAATAGTATCACAATAGAGAATGATAAAAATCCCAAGCAGGATTTTTGGTACAAATTGACAAGCATTATCTAAGATATACAGTAGGCCTACCTTAACTTTGTGGATTTATACCTGGTTTTGCACCTCAAATATGGCCAAAATTAAGAAATATATAATAAACACTTCAAAAACAAAAATTTTAAATTCCACATACCTTAGGGCAGCTTCGAGTTTTGATATGGAGAAGCTCTCAGTCAATCTATACTAACTCTCATTGTGTTTTAAATCATTTTTAATGATCTCTGAGTGGTTTTCCCTTGGCCCCAAAAAGCAAATGGTGCCCTAAAAGCAAGGTAAAAGTCAGTATGTTTAATTCAAGTGATAAAGTAAAATTTTATACTTGTTGGA